CAGCTTTTTCTTTTCAGGCTGCCATTAAGCTTCAGGATCTAAACCAAACTCAAGAGACCTAATTTAATGTAAGGCCAAGTCTCTTCATTTTCCTGCTGGACTCCAAGTCCATTTGCATAAGCTGCCATCACACACCAGTGCCACACTCTAGCAGAAGGATTTAAGCCCTTGCAGTATGACCTGGTAGAGGAGAAGGAAGCAGGCAGCAAAACAACACACCTGGCAGACTGACCCTGGTCACCCACCAGGTAATGGAAGAGGCACAAACACCACACACGGGTGGCTTGGCTTGACCCTGGAATAGCAAACTGGAAGCAGATAGGGTACAGAGATCTGGTACAACATGGAACAGATGGCTGCGTCTCTTTTGTCCTCTAGACTTGTAGCAGGAAACACAGAGTTCGAGGTGGTCAAGCAACATCCCTCTTGGCTGGCAGGGGCTCTTTGAAGACAAAAGCAGCTGCAGCTAAACCACCCAGCAACACTGGCTTTGTGCAGACGTGCCCTTGCTGTGGCCAGTGACCAGACATTCTTGCTTTCCCCTCCTCCCTGTGAACATTCCAGCCACCTGTTACCACTTGCAGCTTTCTGCTGCTATGTATGTTCTTTGTAATCTCTCCTCAATCCTGGCTGGATTTTTTGAAGGGAAGATGAGACTGGATATTTTTTCAAGCCTGGTTTTTGAAGGAAGCAAGTTTTATGTGATGCACAAGGCCACTAACCTTTTTTTATCTCCTCTTGAGCCATATTTGAGACAGGAGATAGCACGTTCCTACACGCAGAAGATTAATAAATAACACAGTACTCCCACTGAGAAGACAAGGGAGGCATTCTTCTTTCCCTTCACTGCTGGGGCCATGAAGGACATGAGGAAAATACAGTAGGATATTATGTGGGGATGTAACTGTCATGGTGGTGAGGGGTAGCTAGGAAAACAAGGAATCTAGAGAAAACCAGGCTGTTGTAGTTCTGCTGCTGACAGGGCAGCTACAGATGGTTCGATTCAGGGGTGTGAGTGGGGACACCAGATCCCACAGCAGTGTGTCCATGGGGCCAGCATGCAATAGAAGTGTGTCTTCTGGTGGGATCACCGAGATGGCATCCGAGTACCAGTATGGCTTCTCCACCTGCAGCACCTTTCCCCCTGCCCCACGGCCCCACAGGCTACGCACAGCCTCCGTGTGTGCACAGGAGAAAGGTGTCAGACCAGGACTTGTCCTGCAGCACTGGAAAAAAAAAAACCACCTGGCCTTGCTGTGGGGCAGTGAGAGCAGGGAACTCACTTAGGTCAGGCTTGTGGTCAGTTTGAGACCTGAAAAAGCAACATTTTTCTGCATATGTATATATGTGTCTATATGTATTTGTATCTCTCTACATAAAGAAAGATACAGAATTTTGACTGCCTGAAGGAAACTGCAGTGGTTTTGCAGGAGGACTAGATCCCTGCAGGCGCAGATGTCAGTCTCATGAGAGTCATCATTTTGCTTTGGACAGGTACAGGCCAGCCTGCTTTTCACCTTTGTTCCCAGGCTGGAGAGCTTGAGCTGGAGAGCACCCACCTGTACTCAGCACAGCTCTCCTGCTTCCTTGCTTGACTTGCCCCAGGCTCCTCTTCCCTCAAGCACTACGCTTATTCCTGTGCCTAACACACCACTCTCGCTCCTGTTTAGTTTGTTGGGTGCCCTGGATCACCTCTCTACTCCAAGGTTGCTCTTCCCAAGCACCTCACTCCCTACTCCTACCTCAGAAACTCACCCAGGTGCTGTGTGGAAGAGTACAGAGGAGGCACAGATGGGTACTCACAGAGACAAGGGTCTTCTTGGGTTTTTTAAGCTTCTGCTGCATCTAAGCCTGGCAAGCTCACTGGGCTGCAAAAAGGCACTCACTCTTTTCTTCCTTGGTGCCATCTCAGTTGCACCCATTCAAGAAGATGGTGCTAGACTAGAGAGTCTGACTAACTGGTGTTAATGGTGAAGTAACTGTACTCCACACCCTGGGGCAGCAGAGAAGCACTAGCCCCGGCCACAGAAAAAAAAAATACTGAAGTTAAGATAAAGCAGCAAATTTTTGTTAACACACTAAGCTGATTAAGCAGCTCTTGGTAGTAAAATTTTCCCATATTCTGGACTTACAGAGCTCTGCACCCTTTTTATATAGCTTTTTATAGCCCTTATCCTATAAGCATGGCTCTAGGGAGTCATCTTAACACCCACCTAGACAACATGAATCAACAGTGCCAGACTGCCTTCTTAACAGAGCTGGCAATTCTGAGTAGCCAAAGGTTTCAGAGGGAAATACTCTCATCTGAGATTTTTTCCATTTCAAAAGACCTTATAGACTTTGCATGTCATCCTAAAGCCTAATGTAAAACAAAAATTAAAAGTATCAGACCTACAGAATTTTCAGTTTGCCTCTAGAAACTGGAACAAGTGGGTGTAAGCTTAAAAACAGAAAGCAAGATCTGTTTCTGGACTTTATCTTTCTGCTCCTTATGCTCAGCTATTTAATACAAAACCAAAATAAAATCCAAACAAGGCAACGCATCGCACAGTCTCCTTCATGCAATTGCAGAAGAATTAAAGACTATGAAAAAAGAAACAATCAAAACCCCAAGAAAACCACCTAGAGTTTTCCCATTTAAAAAAATAAAATGAAACAATTATTTGCAGTGAAGTTTCTAGTTTAGAATTTTATAATCAAAATATGTATAGAAAACCTTCCCATGCTTTCCAAGGGATACATTTTCAAAGGGAAACCAATTCCCATGTGGTAAACCTGATAAGAGAGGAGGACAAGAGAAAACAAGGGCTGCAGCTCTTCATTTTACTTGCTTTTTACTAATGTGCATACCCTGCTCTGTGGCCAAATGTCCTTCTGCTGACATTTAAAACAAAAAAGGAAGAACATGGAAGGCCTGAGGGGGGGGGAGGGGTTAAAAAAAAAAAAAAAAAGGGAAAGAAAGGCAGTGAAATGTTTGTCTTGAAAAATCATGAAGTAATTGGAAATAAAACATTGGGCTGATAAAGCACTGGGACTACACAATACACCAGCCTAAGATTTAACACAACTGAAAAATAAAGATAAAATGAAGCCCTAAAACTTTCTCCTTCATCTGACATGAAAAAATCAGAATTTATTGTTGGCAACAGCTGCAGTTTGTTGCCTAGTCTAGAACAGCCAAAAAAAACCCCAGTGGCACAGTTTCTCAGCAACTGCCTTCAGCTTTGTAGAAGCCTATGGAGATTCAGCAAACCCATTTCCACCACATCTCAGCTGCAGCCAATTTTTTGCCATTAAACACTTTGTGCCCTCCCCAAAAGCTGTGGAGGAGTTGGTGGGATGGTGACTAGAGACAGCCAGTAACGTGTTCCTGCCCTCTGAGATGAGCACAGAGCACTTAGCTCCTGTTGAAAGCACCATGCTGGCCACACCAGAGCTGGTCAGCTGTGCCGAGAGAAGAGTTACTAGTTTGAACGTGTTGCTCTGCTGACGTGGCTGCGTGGCTTCTGGGAGCCAGGCTGGAGCTCTGCATGGTCCTACTACTTCAGCAGTGTGGTTCCTGCTGCCACAAGCTGGATGCTCTGCACCACAGATGCTGTTTTATGGAGCACCAGGTCCCTCGCTAGTCCTGACTCTGAAACAGGACCTGCAGTCCTCCTGAACTGGAGTTCTACTGATCTCCAGGAGGTTTAGATTTCCACTACCAAACGGTGCTGAATTCCCTTCATATTATCATCTCACTGAGTGGGTTTACACTGGAATACAGAGAGATGACTCAGCTTACAAGGAAGCGGTTATTTGATAGAACAGCTTCCAAGTTAAGGAAACCAGATGACTCAAAAGATTAAATCCAATCCTGTATTCCAAAATTAGATACACATTACAGAGCATTTGTAGCAACCATGAGTCTGGAGGAAGTCAGAAACAACAGTAGTAACATATGGGCCCTGTGGTTGTGCAGTCCATCCCAACCCTGGCATTTTTCCCTCTGCATGAGTTGGAGGACTTCTTCCAAGCAATTTTAATTGTTACTTCATAAAAGACAGGACTATAAGTCACCTTTGCTTCCCAAAGTTAACACTGGAAAAACAAATTGCAGAAGTGTGAATAAGTGAACATGTCCCCTTTTGAATAATGTATTTTTTTATTAGATTTTCTAAACCTATTCAAAAGAAAGCTTCCCTTTAAAAAAAAAGAAAAAAAAAAGTATCTTTTCTTCCTTCTCCTAAAACTGCACTGATTCCAAGGATATGGGCTGGCCCCATTTAATGTCCCACCCCATCAATATCTTCAGAGGCAAATTTAACAGTTAAAGAAAGAAAAATATTCCAACAACTTTACTCAAAATCTGGTTTTGAGTCTTGCCAATATTTTCTTCCCCAGACTTGCAGGGGTTTTGCCCAGGTTTACTACAATGGAGGAACAGGTATATAAACACTTCCTCACAGTCTTGGGGTTTATTGTCAATAATAAAATTATGGCTACTTTAAAATGTCAAACAAAAACAATATAAACCCATGGTTATTAGATTATTATATACACAAGTAGCAGCTTAATACACTTGTAGTGATGCCACTGGTTTCTATTGTATCAAAGAGAGCGTACTTCAGCACACGAAATCAGAATCTCTGTTTGCTAACTTGAAATAGTAACTTTATGCTGCAATTTCTAAAACCTGTCTTCAGCATATCTACCACAGGTATTAAATGCTCATCTGCATTCCTAGAGCAGCCCAAGTTCACAATCTTGTGAAAGATTTATTTGGTGAGAAAGCATCATGCCACAGCAGCATGTCCAGTTCAGAAGCTCATTGCCAGGACTTTCTATAGTGCTCTGTATGCACAAATACAATAAGCATATGGACCTTTTCACATGAACAGTGCTGACACGAAAGCACTTCAGGGTTAAACGGTACATCTGGAGAGAGGGACTCCTGTGATCTAATTGTGGTTCATAAAAAAAAAAAACTTAAAAAATATAGAACTTGAGTGCAGATTCTTTTACATAATGTGTGTTGACAATGCAAACCAGCCTTCTTCTTTTTGCTTTCCCACCTGCAAAAGAAGAAACCAGCTGAAATTCACACATCAGAAGTGTCACACAGGCTTGCTACTGCTAGTTCATGCTGGCTTGTGTAGGACTGTTGTGTGTCAGCTGACACACAGCAATTTTCTGCCATCTGCACCACGGAGGGAGTCATAGCACATACTTTAGACACCTAATTTAAGCCACATCTACCTTTAATATTCCAAATTTCCCCTCTGGGGATGTATGCTTCACTGTCAGCATAAGCAGTCTTGGACTCTAAATTTGTGTCTCTTTATTGCTCCTAATTTAGGTTATTTTGGACATCAGGAAAAGTAGTTAATTTATCTTCATTATTATACATTAAGACATTAATATCTCCTCATGGTTGCTTTCAAGCATACAGAGAGGTCTATCAGACTGTACTACTGCCTGGAGTTCCCCATGAACACATCTCAGTGTAGTCTGTGCTCCTCCTTGCACATCATGAATCAGAAATCTAGAGTGGGGATTTTTCTCTGCATTTTGATTTATTCTTCAGCAACTGCCTTGTGTAAGGGCCAGGTGAGAGCCTGCTTACCTCTTAAATATGTGGCCCCATGAGTACAACACAATGACTACTTGAAATTCTCTGGAGCCACCAGTGAAACACTTCCAGAAGTTCCCAGTTCTAACACATGCAGATGACGCAGTAGAAAATGTAGTTATAGGATTATTCCCCTATCAGTTGTTGGGAATCCAAACTGCTATGAATCAATTGCCATTAGCCTCAGTAGATATAAGGCAGGAGGACAAAGCTTTCTCCCCTTCTTTATCTGTCTTGCTTTTTCCCCTTCTTTATCTGTCTTGCTTTTTCCTTGTATGATACCACAATTAAACTTCCTTGCTGAAAGATTTTTCAGTCCTACCTTCGGCCTTTGGCTGACAGAAGTTAATTTCCCACTTTCTGGTATGTCACTTTGGGGTGAACAAGGTTTGCTGGAGTCTCCTACAGACCTGTAGATGTTCAAAGATTGAAAAAGTGAAAATCAGGGAAAGTTCATGAAGCCAAAGAGAAACATGGCAATTTTCCCATTCTGTTCAAGTTAGTAAAGGATCAAGTCAATTAAAGGGTTAACATTTACCTTCTTATACTGGTCATACTTGCAGGGGAAACACTATCTTCTTTGGAGCTGTCAACAGCAACTGCCACAGGAATGGACACCTCAATTGTCTTCCTTGTGTTTTCTAGGCAATAAATAATAGCTTGATTCTGATAAGAACACAGCAACATTGCAAAATACTCATTTTCTATTTTTTTTGAGGGATATCACGCAGTTCTTCACAATTGCACAGAAAATAGAGCAGATGTAAAACATCAGGCTAAACATCAATCCCATACCCACTACCTGAAAATGACAGGCACTGAAAGATACTCAGAACAACTATGGACAATGTGCTTAGACACAGGATGACTTTTCCATGAAAAAAAAAAACTTTGAAAAAAGCCTTTGGCAATCAGAAGCTTAAAGACTTCTGACTTCTCCAGCTGAAGATTTTGCTCATGCTGAATTTACGTTACAACAGCTGTAGAAGTGTTAAAAGTGTTATAACCCCACTGCACGTGGCATTGGACAGGCACCTGCACACGTATGCACACACATAGTCTCTCTGCCCCCCTCAAGTCCTTCCCTTTACACATCCTCCCTGGCTTAGGAAGGGGGACAGGGTGGGTGTCCCCGACAGAGCACGTATATTTGCTCAAGTGCAGTTCTGCCTGTACTTACAATGGCTCTATGAAAAGATAAAGAAGCTCCAGTCATTTCTTTCTATTATTAGCACTAGCAGCAACTCAGCAAGGTAGTCTGATGGAAAGAGCCCTCAAAAGACCAAAAAACTAAGATGTGGCTGACAACTGGATAACCAGTCTGCTGTGATTTTCAGAAGCATGATGTAAATACCCAGTCTTTTTACAAAAGGTTCCCAGCAGAGAGGACAGATTAAAAAGCCTAATTCTGCCTACCAGTGTCTATGTATCAGAACTGTCCTGCAGACAAAGACACAGCAGAGAACAGACTTACCATGAAGCATATTTACAGCAGATAAATTACTAAGAAATTAACTCTAGGAGAAGTTTAGCTGATATATTTTTAGCTCTCCAAAATAAGAAGTGTTTGTGCCACAGAGTCATTAACAGCAAGTGAACTGCTGACCACAACCCCTGATCCGATCTGACACGGACACAGAATTCTCAAAAGGGGAAAAAACTCTCTCACTAGTTTTTGTTTTGCCTGAAGCTGGGTACTCACCAGTACAATTTAGGGGTGGGGGCAGAACAGGAGATGTCAGAGGGACCATATTGTCAGCAGTTGATTTCTGCTGGTCTATTAACTGCAACAGCTGATCATGGGCTTCTCTGCTCTGACGATTCAGCTCTGCTATTCTTTCCTCCAAGCGCTTCGATACCAGGAGACGAGTCTGCTTGGATAATTGGATAATTGCTTCCAATTAAAAACTTACAATTTGCACCTTCAAGGAGAGCAATATATTTCAAGTAGTTCTACACATTTAGTTTGCAAACTGAAAGTAAACATAATTATATAGCACCTCCTGTAAAAAAAAAAAACAAAAAAAAAAAACAAACTCAAGTTGTTCCTTTTGCATCCAGGCATCTAGGTCTTTAATTGACTAAATACAACATTATTTTAAATTGGTCTTCCTAAAAATAGGAAAAAAAAATCCAGTCTGTGTAGTTTCAGGAAAAAAAAAATTAAATCTCCCAACCTTTCCAGCAATTAACCATAATTAAGAAAATATTTAATCAGAGAGACATATTCAGGAGGATGTGAGGAAGCAAAAGCAGATTTCTAGAACTAAAAACTTGTCTTTAGACTAGATTTTCATCCACTTGGACCTCTTCTCATAGGTTTTTGGGCCACGGTGACAGAAGTATGGCATGCATTTAAACATGTACTTTGCAAACTTGACAAGAACCTGTGGGCTGATGCAGTCCTTTCACTGTTAATACTGTCCAAGCTACAAGAAATACACCTGATCATGTTGCAATCACCTCTTTTTGCAGCATAACCTCATCCTAAACTTAATGTGCTGCACATTTCTCAACATTCATATACAACACAGGTCCCATATGAGAAACTACTGCTGAGCTCCTTAGGGAATGATAAAAAATCATAAGCCTCCAAGCAAATGAATTAAAAGAATATTTGGTCTACTACTGTTTTCCTTACAACTGACGATGGGGAAGAAACAGTCCTAAAGCATCAGTAAGCCATGGGAAAGCAGACCAGCAGACAGAAAAGGCAGGCTGGACTCCTCTGTTAAGTTCTCACCTGTCCTTGTGAATGGTCTGGACCAGGATTTGCATTTTGTATTTGGTCTGGCTGATGTGGGCAGTCACTTGTGTCTTCAGTAAAGCCTCTGAGTTCGCTCAGTTGAGCTTTAATGAGAGAGTTTTGTCGTGTGAGCTGCTCAGCTATCTGTCCCAGTAGATCACCGTTCTGAAGGAACTCCTCAGCTGTGCTGTTTTTGTTAGTGTCACCTGAGCAGGACAGGCTGATTTTCTTGTGGGAACTCTGCAAGTCTTTGTCTGCAGGAGGAACTGGTTGCCTTTGAGAGATGAGACAGTTTTCCTCAATTGTGCTCTGTGTTCTCAGGGAGGAAGGTGAGCTCCTTTCCCTGCATGGCTCTCTTTCAGTGTCAGGAGACTGAGGAAGGGCTGTAAACACTACGAGAAGAAATAAAGGAAAAAGATATGATCATCATCAAGGAAACTACCAGTGATTTTATTGCATCAGGCTAGTCACAATCACACAGGAACCTGAGCTGCAACATCTCGCCTAAATAGTTTAAGGTTACAGATCAAAACACTGTATGTAAGATCCTGCTGCAAGAACTTGCCAGGTTTAGTATTTCCTATTGCAAACAGTCTGACATTTAAATGATTTCACTAGAGGTTAAGAGAGAAATCAGAGAGAAGATAAATTGCTTTGAATTTCTTAGCTGATCAATCAAACGCTACTTCTTAGTCCTCCATTTTCCAAAATCCAGTTACCTTACCTCCTAAAGTGTAAATTTACATTTCAGCCGATATTCATACTAGCTTAGTAAGAGAACTTTTAGAAAAATAAAACAAAACACTATGACACTTTTGGCATAATAAGAAACCAGCTCTTTAGTCAGGCCCTAAGAAAGCAGAAGCACTCTGGCCAACAAAAGTAGTCAGGTGGGTTTTTTTTTTTTGTGGTCAACCTTAGTGAACAGATACCACACCGCACACACATGACCAAACATGTTACAGTGCTGTCAGCTGCTCCATGTTAAGTTCAAGTTGGATTTTATGACCAAAACCAGGTTTTCCATGCTGTATAACCCAAATAGCCCATTCCTTCCCAAGCTTTCACTTTTGCCTCTTGAACAGTGCATGATGTTTAAAAATTTACAGACAAATCTGTTTTATGAATAGTTTTTTATAAAGAAACACTCGGGAAATTTAACATTCGTGTAGCCATTTAGCATCCTTAATGGTCTTAAAAGATTAACAATACATTTCTCACATAGCTAAACTGTAGTGAAGCCTAGGAATACAGTTTTATATTCTTGTTTCAAATGGCAGACATCTGACAGTTCTCAACAGGACTGAAACCAGATGCTGCTCTTTGCAGAACAATACCTTTATTTCATTTCCTCCTGCTTTACTATGTGCCTCCTCATAGCACAGCAGCCCAGCAAAAGATTGAACTAGATATAAACTTCCAATTGCCCTGCCAACTCCTTAAAAATCAAAAGGACTCCGAGTTATTTTTCTGACTTGGAAAAGACTTAGAGCAACACAGCTGAAAGGGGAAGGGGTAAACAGGAGGAGGGAAGGCACAAAACCCCACTGCTGTGCCCTACTTCCTGTCAGCAACCATCAAGCTAGCCATAGACATAATTATCCACCTCAACAACCGAGTTACAGGGGCCTGGCATGCTCACTAAGATCCCACGTGGTTACAATGACAGTTGCAGGAGGAAACAGCTCATTTTGAGAGTCACAAAGAGCCTTCCCCTTCTGCTCACTCTAATTAAGTTTAAATGAGCAATACCTTCCCTCATCACCACTGATGAACTGTCTTCCTCCCAACAACCAGAACCAAGCCACTAACCTATAAAACTCCTAAAACCTATGGGTAGTGACTCAAGACTGAAATAATCTGTTTATCTGGCACCACATAATTTCACCCAAAACTTCTTCAGCCACCTCCTGGCGTTAAGTGAAAACCAATGAAACCTGTTCCCTGTGCTTTTAGAACAACTTCTGCTGGGAGGGCTGGCTCAAAGCTAGAGCATGCAGTCAACAGACACCCTGGCTTGTCTGCAGCATTAGCTGCAGAGGCACTGAGCTTCCAGTCTTCAGTGGTCCCACCATCAAAGGTGATGGAAGGTGGAATACATCATCAGACAGAAATCTGAGAAGATTTGCTGTGCATCACAGACAAAGAGCTACCACAGATCATGTGTAAGCGACCATCCAAACCAGTACAAAATAAAGAGGCCAGTCTGGATTGTTGCTGGCAGGACTGCAGACGACAAAGTCTAAAGCACATCTAGCAACAGGCACAGAAAGAAAAGAAATGCATGTCTGGGTGCAGAAGCAGGATATCCCAGCTATAGGGCCAAGGTGCCCAAGCATGCAGATTAAAATTTTCCATAGGAAATACATCTACAAAAGCAGTGTGAGACTGAAACAGTACGACATTACACAGCCTCCCAAGTCTACTGCAGGCAAAGACATCTCACCATTCTGGAGAGGAGACAATTCCTGACTGCTCTTCTGCCGGGGGGGCGACAGCAGCACAGCTGGCTGGAAGATGTGAAATGGGAAGCTTCTACCAGCTCCTGCACCACCTGAAGCGTCTGACCTCTGGGGAAACTTGAAAGGAAGCTCTTCCTCTGGGAATCTCAGCATACTTACCCTGTTGCCTGCACCATCCCCAGGCCCAAAATAGTTCAAATCAGGTTTTTCTAAAGAAAAAGACAAAGCAGAAATAGTTATAAGAAAAAAAAAAAGTTTAGTGCACTAGAGAAAATTCTCAATAACAGGTCTTATGGTATCTGAAAAGACCAACTAGAGTATGTTCCCCACACACTCATAACTTCCAGCTGACCCCTAGGTACAGATCTCCCACTGGGGCATAAAACTAATTTTCACTGGCCTTAAAAGCCAGAACAGCACTTGTACGTAGCCTCACAATTTCAGGATACTGGTAAGAGATCTGTTTGAAGCTCATCCACAAGTCACACAGACATCTTGTACAGAACAGATATTTCAATGGGCTGCATTTGGTGATATTCTCCTGAGGAAAGCAGACCTACACGCTTGTCCTAATTAACCTATATTATAAATTTGATGGCAACAATGGTGGCGTGGAAAACAATTTGAAGCTTTTTTGAGCTCTTTGATGGTCTTTCAATGACTTAATTCAAGTCAGCCATCTCTTCAACAAAAAAAAACACCTAAAATTTCTGCATTTAACTACAACTAGCTTGTGTCTACCTTGCCATCTATTTTGAACATACCATGGAGGCACAGAATGAATAGTATGAAATCAAAGTTGTAGCTAGCTGTGAGAACACAGTAATTTTAATATACTTACAACCATTGTACCACCAGTGCTATTTTGAATTCTCTCTTCATAATTTTGTTCAAGACATTTGTTCCCACAAAAATAAGTTGGTGGAAAATTAAGTAGAACATACCTGATCCCAAAATGCAAGAGACAAAAAAAGCACAAGAGCTAGAAGAGGCTGTTTTCATAAAATAATGGTTGTGGGTCACATTGCTGAGATTCTAAGGCTGAATTTAAAACTTGCCCTCCATATTCAGCGATCCTAGCAAGAAATTAGGAAGATCTTCCTGCTCTGCTTCACTGTACAGAACTGCATTTCCAAAATACACTCCTCATCTGCTATTTGGCACTATGATATTCCACCTATTCCTCTCCCAGCCACTCTCTCTCCAGATAAATCCTGTGTTAACTTGCACATAGACTCTGTGCTAAAACCAGCTATCTCAAATGTCTCACATCCAGTCAGATGCCTTAAGGATACAAGAGATCTCCTTCTGAAGGAGGAAGAAGAAATATTTTTGTAAGCTTAAAAAGCTTTCCTCTCAGGAAGGTGCCTTTTCTTGAGCATTGAGACCACTAAGGAAAAAAAGTTTTGGAAATTATAGTCTTGCAGAACTGTTGTATAGGAAGGTTGCCTTAAGAGCAAAAATTATGCATTTAAGCTACCAGTGGGGAAAGACAACTGGGAGAAAACTCTATGGTGAAAGAATGTAAAAAGTAAAATGCGAATCATGTCTGGTTAGTATGGCCATTAATCATCCTGGCTTAATTTAGCCTGTGTCTATGTTACCTGTCACTCAGCTGGTCAAACACCGTTAACACAAAGTCACAAATACCAGTAAACAGGCTTCTGCCTGCCTAGTATCAGGCCTCAACAGCTGCTGCTTCTGGTCAGCAGCGACCTCCAGTGTCTGCGGGAAGAGTCAATCTCATAACTGTCAGGCTGCCTCAGCAACACGAAGGTGGGATCCTGTTTCAGTTGGGTTTTGTTTGTTTGTTTTTTAGGAGCCTCAGAATAAACCTGACTTTCTAAGCCATCTTTATGAGAAGGTGGGGAGAGGAGTAGCTTTTCCCCCTTTTTTTTTTTTTTTAAATATATAAAATACATTATGTATCACTTAAACCTCAAGCCCAGGACTCAAGTAGAAGGTTAGCCTTGAAGTCCTAATCCAGACAGAAGGATTCCCATGGGGATGGTATACGACCTATACTAAGAAAATAACAATAACAAAGCACTTGTGCTCACAGCAGAACCCATGGCATATGAATTTCTAGAATTGAGAGTCTTGTATGCTCACACAAGAGGTATTTATTCAAGCAGACATCTATTAAATAAATACCAGACATTCCACTACAGAGAAAATGAACCACAACTCCTGTTCCATCCTTCACACATGCAGACACACACCTTGGCTGTTCACTGGAGCTTTGCTTGCAATTCCAAAATAGTTTGGACTTTGTTCTCTTCTTGGTTCTACTAAAGGGAGGCCTTTAAATGCTTGTGTGAGTGAGGTCAGCTGTTCATCTGTTACTGTCATGTACTGCTGAAGCTTCTTCTGAAGGAAGGAAAGAGATACAGAAATTTGTATTCTAACAACACAAATTAGAAAATTATATATATCAGAAGCAGTTCCAAGAAGAAATTTGACCTCTTAGTACCACTGAATTAATCTGTAGGATTCCAGTAAAGTGTTAAATATTAATGTCTCCACTTTTATAATTTATTTTCTCCTGATTCAAATAAATTATTTGGTTTTCTTTTTCCTAACTCATGACCTCGCTTCCTCTCCAAGGTTGCTCTATTGCTTCATTCCCATATGTGACCACTGAACAAATCTACCTTCACTGCAAGCTGAAAAAAACAAAATGTAGTATTACATCTAGTCTACTTTGTTGCTCCAGTAGTGTTAACAGTACAGAAGTGTGGAGGAAGATGCTTAAACTCTTTGATTGATAAAGCTCACTTTTACAGAACTAGCATTTCCTTGGGCTTTGAAGTTAAGCATTGTAAATGAAGATACAATAATGACTTTCCAAATGTTCTTCTAGCATACCTGCTATTACAATTCTCAGGCTCCTCATTCACTTTTGTAATTTTCTGTTTACTGTTCAAATCTCTGGAACATGAAGCACTGCATTTCAGTCTATATTTGCAACAACTGGGTATTCTAACAAATCACCCTGATGGGTAGGGAGCAAGGGGGGCTCAGTACCTGCAGAGTAATGTTCTCTTCCCTCACTAGAAGTATTTCTGCAGTCAGAGCATCAATCAGTTCTCTGTGTTCATTCAACATCTCCTCATGCTTCTGTCTCATCACCTCTCTCTCATGCAGCTGCTTTTCACTCTAAAGCAGGAGGAAAAGTTAAAAACCTTCTATAAACCAATACAGACATTTTTGGAAACAAGAGCAGGTCCATATGACACTGTACTGCTAAACTGACTTCATTACTTTTATTGGACAAAATCCAATTTTCATGGCTTGAGAACTGTCAGAAAACTTACTGTTCTTTTTTGATTAATCCACAACACTGCAGGGAATCCTACACATCCTTGCTCTTCTGCCTTCACAACTTTCACAGGCTGTAATTACAAGCATTGTCTCTGCATGGACACCATTTTGTAAGTCACTGAATCTTCATGCAGTAATCAAATGACTGCAGGTATGCTGATGCCTGTCAGTATCCTGTGCTACTTGTGCCTATTCTTTAGTTTCCTTAAGTCATTAATTAAGACAAATTTGACTAGGGGGAAAGTAGTTGCTTCCTAATGCTTTCCCCTCAGGGAGAGAAAAAGTTTTAGAGGATTTAATTATTTTTTTTCTTTAAGAAGATGAAAAGGTTTTTTTTACATCATCTACATGAGGCGAAAGACCTTACTGCAGAACCTCTTGCTCTAAAAAGAGATTATTAATGTGTTATTTTAAGATAGACCACTGCAGTAGCCAGGCTTCCTGTACAAAGCACAAGAGTCCATTTCACCTCTAGTGGGTAAGTGGAATACACAACTGCCACTTTTTGGACCATCTTAGCTAAAAGAGCAAAGGCTACAGAGTCCCATAAACACACCAGAATTAGCACACGGAATCCTTCCCCATAGGGCTGTCTGCATTTATTCAAAGGAATCCCTGAACAACAGAAATACAACCTATCTCCAAAACACAGGAGATCCTGAAAAGCAGTTGGGGTTCTCTGCTGCTGCCGGACAAAATTAGCATGAGCTGCCTGTAACATACCATAGATTATTTCCTGCTGTCATTGGAACCAGAAGTGAAAAAACCAACAAGGAAGAACTGTTAAATCACAACAGCTCTGCAGCCACATAAAGTGAAGGAATAACAAGTAGTTTTGAGAATAAACCACAGATACTGTCACTAGACACAAAGACAGGCAGATATATCTCCTTTATGCAGGACAGAGACAAGCCACCTGTTTTCTGGCTCCCTTCCAACTAGAGAGAACAGCTTTTCTGTATTGATCCAAGTGAAGCAGGCTGGCACAGAAAATGAAGAAAATGTAGACAGTCCTAAATTTTTAAAAACCAACACAGCTCAAAATAAGAACTTTAATTCTGGTAGCAGTGATGAAGCCTACTGATGCCTTAGATCTGGATAAGCTACTCTATCTACTCATCCTATGTCATGTTAAACTAGTCTTGGAGGAAAAGCTTCCAAAGCAGCTATGGGTCTTAGAATCATAGAATCATTAAGGTTGGAAAAGACCTCTAAGATCCCCAAGTCCAATCACCAACCCAACACTACCACGACCACGAAGCCATGTCCCGAAGTACCAGATCTAAACTTTTTTTTTTTTTAAACACCTCCAGGGTTCACAGCTGTACTCATCCATTCCTACCGTCAGGTGGGATTCGGGTCTGAAATACCCTGAAAAAAGAATCTTCAGTCCAACCCACTGCCAAGTGTACCTCTGATCTCACTTCAACACTGCCTCAGAATATGCAGAAGAAGAGAACATAGCAACACAGGTTAATGTATTATGCATAAACTCTTTTTGCCCTGTGAATCTGGCAAATAAACAGCATTCTTAGTAGAACAGGAAAAAAAAAAAAAAAATTAATTCTAACATTTGGCAGATGACATTGGAATTTATTTAGGAAGCAAGTCAAGTTCATGCACTTCCCTTTTACGAGTTTCGTATAGCTTGGCAAACATTTCAGAAATACCTTTATCCCCTCCTCTCTAACCTCTTCTATATTCCCTAGTTTCTTGTAGAAGTTGATTTTCTTTTTTAACCACTAACTAATGAAACTTTCAGGAAAGATCTAGTAATTCATGTTTCTCTTTCTGCTTCTTATATATAATTTTGAGAATAACCTAAGCAACATCCTTTATCATAATTCTTCTGTATTCAGCTTTCCTGCAGCAAAGCTGGAAAATATTATTTTCACCCCAGAAGAGGAAGGGAAACTTTCTAGAAGCTTTAAAAGCTCTTGAAGCCTGATTGTCTACCTGAAATCAGAAGGTTTCTAAATATCCCCTGCAAAGTCACTTTCCTGGAATGCTTTGCCAGGCTAACTTTCCCAGCTAGGCAAGACAAATGATGCACACAAGCACTCGAGTTATTCCTAGCATCACAGGGACCAGGTTTCAGGAAATACTCAGAGAAGCTGTGACTTCACAGCAAATTCTCAAATCCTAGTTGTGATTAAAGCTCCATGAAAAACAGAAAAGTCACTAAAGATTATAGATGCATGCTGTCTATATCAAGCAACTCTAAATATGATTAACTGCCCTTTGTAGCTTAAACAACTTCTGAATATTTCTACTCATGAACTTAGGCAGTAAATCTGAAAAAAGTTACAGACAATTCTGCAAGCAACAGTCAGCTCCTGGAGGGATGGAATGATAACGCACTATGAAAGTAGAAACAATATCATAGAGGTGCTCAGTAAAAATTGGGAATACAAGGCAGCATCCACGTTTCAAAACAAGTAGTCTCCTTAAACACTCAGACTCCTTGGCCTTCTGTCTGAATAGGGTAAAAGCTATTAAGATAAATTCAAAGTTACATTCGTAGAGAAAGTAGCAACTAAGAAAGAAAAAGAATTACTAAGGAAATCTGGAGTAGTTCCAGAGGAAGCCTGAGGTTCAAGAACAACGCATTTCTGTGGAACACAAATTAAAGGCACTCTAAATAGGGTTGTACTTGCAATTATAACGTTAATTTTATGCTATTAAATTGATGTTTTCCTAATAAATGGAAAACACTCTATTGGAAGTTCAGAAGATCCTCTCCATAACTGCTAAAGAAACAAATTCAATGCCCTGCTTTGGTTTTACAACTTAAACAGAGAACAAGTGCTAACTACTATTAAAACATAAGATGTCCTGAGCCAAAGTCAGTCTTCTTTTCACTACTGAATTGGTTACTTACCATTTGCTTCCAAGACAGGTTTTAAAGTAAATTCTTTCTCATAGATTAAATACAGGATAATACAATGAATAAGCTGTCATATATCCAAACAACAGAAAAAAAATTCAAATACAAAAATAAGGGTTCCCCCCCCCCAATTATTACACATTCTGAAAAGGAACCAAAATAGGACAATTTCACATTTATTATGAATCTATTGTCTTTGCTATTGGGATTTAGGTAACATTCTGCTGCAATTATTAAGAATGCAGGAACTGACATAATCCAGTTGAAAATTTCACACAGGCCCAATGAAACAGAGCCACTGTTGCATCTGGAATAGCTCTGAGTTAAAGATCAAATAAAACACTTTTTTCCCCTCTTTTCTATTTTTAAAAAGAAGTTCTACACATCTTTCAGGTAATCTTCTTTAATGGACTTCCATTGATCCTCAGCTGTATGCTACTATTGGTAGCCTTTCAGGTCATTAAGTTGCTGCCATGGACAGAAAAAGAAAGCAAAGTAATCCCTCAAAAAAAAGGAGGCACTCAGATCCACTGCTTTAGTGCCAACAGCATTGCCTTTGGGAGGCAAAGGAAGAATTTGTACACAAGGCTATAGTGAATACCCTGCTACAACTCTGAACTTAAATGACAAAAAATTAAATTATTTCAATAAGTATTTCCTGCTAGTAGTCGTTGAGAGACTTTCACTGCAGTCAGCTCCTCTCTTTTCACTAGGCAACCCATTTCTAACCAACAAAGTTTTAACTCCTAATTGCATGCAATCCAAATAATAAACAATGATAATCAGCCTCCAAAGTAAAACTGACTGATAGCCAGGAAATACCAAAGTTTACACATGTAAAATAACTTCATACCCTTTTTCATTCATTCTACAGAAGTGACTCAGTCTTCTCACCTCTTTGAGGTAGCGCATCAAACGACAGAGAGCGTTCACCAGTGACAGGGTAAACCCAGTGAGGCCTTCACTTCTCTCAGTTTTTTGAATCTCACGACCTGTACATCGCTCATATTCCTCCAATTCATGCTCCAATTCATGTATCATGTGGTTAAGGACATCTAGGTTGGATTTGTTGTCCCTCTGAAGGTCAATAGGGATTGAATTAGCTGGAGAATCATCACTCTCCTGTCTTGCAGAGGTCTGTGAAGTTTTTCTTTTCACTGAGGGAAAAAAAAAGGCATCAATGAAATTTTAACTTGTATAGAAAGCTTTGCAGTATCAATGAAATTACATTGTTTATTGAAGCAAATCAGAAGAGGGGCCTTCTCTTGCCCTGAGCTGAACTAGACCATCAAAGAACATCCCCACCTATTCCAGTTATTTTCAGATCATCAAAACCCACATTTTCTGCCACCACGTTAGTACCTCTCAAGTATGATTGTTTGGTGCTTTTATCTTAGATACCTGTATATACCTTCCTCCTTCTCAGTTAAAAGCATGGAAGCAGTTGGACAGTAAAAAGCCAGTGAAAAATATCATCTGCTTTCCAGTCTCATACTTAAGTGACCAACTCCTTTACAACAATCCTTTCAGGTTACAGTTTGTATCTGATCTGAGTCAGTCCCCACATAAAAATGCATGTAGAAAATAGCAACTGAAATTCATAAGTCTGTGCAGCACAGACTAGAAAGCTAGATCAGAAATGGAAAAGCCCTGCACAGGAGAAAACTCCACAGTTAGCATCCAAGGGTGATACGGATGGTTCCCAGATTCCCACGGACTTCCCTTTGCCAATGAACATGCAGAATACACTACAGAAGAGGCTGTGGAATGTCCACCCTTAGAGCTACTCAAGACGTTGGCTAGAAGAGGCTCCCCAGTCAAACTCTGGAATTAGCCCTGTGACGACTTCCAAAGATCTCTTTCAACCTACATTTTCTTATGAAACTAAGGACTATGGTCAAAGGGATAGGTGTTATTTTTATGAGTACTAAACTTTTTGTTGCAGTTTGCTTTTGATTCCTTGCTTTCGGGTTCAATACTTGTCTCACGGTGTCAGTGTCATTTACAGCCTCTTCTTCATGTTCATTCTGGAGTTTTGAACGGATTCTCTTGATAACATCAGTAGCATTGAGGGCTGATTTAAACACAAACCAGAAAATGTACACATTAAATATTTCAGGTGTGTTCTTAATAGTAATGTTACAAAGCAATTTTCATAGAAGAGATAGCTTTTTAGTCTGGAAATTCATCTGAGCCATATTAGCATGACTCTTGTCTCTCACCCCCACCCAGGGAAGGAGTTCCAGACAGGATCCTGCAAACAGCCCAACAACACTTGAGAAGCTGTCATTCGGCAAATCCAACCTGACTGATCCAGTGACCGAGAAACAGTTGTTGGAGTCAAAGGCACATGGGATTCCTGTTGTAAGATATTTTTTCTTGTATCCTTTTCAGCCCATAACTGAGAATTCACCAAGGAATTTTCTTCTCTCAGTAACCGAAGCAGCCTAAATTCAAAACAAGCATAACAGTGAATTGTGGTATGTAGAGGGAATTTTAACTGCGCCACAAAATGGCATCCTAGAGGCCTTTATGCGCAACCCAGGCTGTGAAGGATATGGTGAAAGACCGGAGGTAGACGGCAAGGGCACGGTGTCTTTGAGCCTCAGGCAGGAAGGAGAAGGGTGACAGCTCAGCAGCTTCTGTGCAGATCAAAGGCTTGGCAGGAACTTGCAAGCAGGGACCACCCTGGAAACGCCACAGCACGTGGACAGTGACATTTAACCTATCGGGGTACGGGTCCAGCGCGTGGCTGTGCAGTGTTAACCAGCCCGAGTGTGTAAACTATGCGTGATCAGTCACTGAGTGTATAAATACAGCAGCTTGTGTGCATTAAAGCGGAACACTGATGAACCTCCTGTGAAGTCTGTCTTTGATTCCGGGCTCCCCGCAACAGTGGTAGGATAAGAGCACGATTCTAGACTACCTATACAGTCTAAAAAGAGCTTTTTAAATATCTTTAACTTCTCAGGTGAGTTCCTGCTCATATTCATTCCCAGTCTGAATGTTACAACAAAAGGTTTCCCTAGAATTTTGAGGTCAGGAAAGGAGTGTGGGAACAGAAAAAGTGGTTTAACTATTCCCAAGTAATGTCCTTTTAACGCTATTTCCAGTGTAAAGAAGGTAGAAATCTGAATGGATAAACTTGTACTGACCTGTTAGAATTGATGCTGGATTTGAAATTCAAAGAATCATGGTGTCCATCCTCTGATTGATAGATTGAGGATGCTTCCTCTTCCACTTCTTTAAGAGCCTTTTTAGGAGACTACAAAGAAAAAAGGGACTTCAGAGCAATTTCATTTTGTCTTTAGGAAGAAGTTGGAGATCAATTTTCTAAAATTTTTTTTAAAAAAACAAAACAACAATAACTCATTTGTTTCAGTCTCTAGCTACAAAACAAAACAAAACAAAACACGAAACAAAACACACACAACAAAACACACACCACACCACAAACCTCTGGGAAGATTTTTGTGGGACTTTGGTACCCAAGAACTACTGAAACCGACAACTGTCTTTGAAAATAACATAAAAGTGTTCAATTTAATAACTAATGTTTTATTTGGATGATTTACATTAAATAAGAAAGACCACATACATAGTAGGGTAAAAAAAAGCAGCTTTAAAACCTGTAACAGAACAAATACAAAAATATAGCAGGCAGAAGATGGAAAAAGGAACCTAAATTATAGTATTTCTAAAATTCTAGTCATTTGACATTACAAGCTAAACAAACTTATAATGAGAGCTGCAGAAATTACATTTATATTCTGTGTGTAAAATGCAGCCAGAACAACCAACAATCCTGTGTACCATTTTCAAAGCATAACTTAAGCAACCCAATTTGGAATTAGGATTCCTCAAGCTATCAGGTTTCTGTGCTTCTGGGTAGGCTTCACCAGATAGCCTTCAACTACAATTTTCGTAGGCACATTAGGAAAAGAAAAACTCACAAAAGCTCAGCAGACAACTATCAGTATTTGTTTCTTTTAAACATTTAAGCCTACCCTGCAGTATGTATCCAGTGATGCAGCTTACGAAGATACTACAGCTAACTCTTTATATTAAAAAAACCAAAAAGCACATCAAAATACAAGACAGAGCAGTACAGCAAATCAGATTATAGATATTTGTGCAAGACAGTAGAAAAGAAGATTAGAGAACCATAAGACTGTGACACCATCACTTTCAATCCCACAGCCCTTTTGCTCTTCATTAGCAAGCTGCTTTCCAGAGTGTCACATGCCTGTTCTCAAACCACACTGAGCATCCCTGGTACAACTCATGTTATGAAAAGAAAATGCAACACAAAGGCAATCCAAAGGAAATTTTAAACAAACAAACATTTTTTAAACTTTTAAACCAGATCTAAATAATTGTAGAAGAATGTGAAGTATTAAAAGTATTGAAGTATTGTAGGACTAATGAAGGCTGTGAAGTCAAGTGGGGCACATTTACAAGTGTTATCAGAAATAAACTGGAGTCCAACTGGCTACATCTCCATATATGCAGACATAATTAGAAAATCAGTGGTGCATTTTGATACATAGCAGTTAGTGAAGTGACATGAGTAATTTTTCTTAGTCTGCAAATACTTTGTTCTCTCACTGATAATTCCAGAATTTAAAAGGGATACCATCCTAATATGAGAGAGTTTCTATGAGACATGTTTATTCCTCATATTCAAAGGTTAAGAAATCAAAAATCATGATTCCAGGAGTCTCATGAAACAAACTCACCTCTATTTAACATCATTTTCTATGTACATCACCAACATGGTATACAATGCCCAAAAGACAGGTTTAGGTCTGCTTGGAAACTCTACCTTTGAATATTCTCATTTTATACAAACAAAAAAACCACAGGACATGCATGGAAGAGAACATACATTACCTGGGAATCCACGACAGAGTCACTCAGGATGGAAAGCTGAGTGGGAGGATCACATTTCTGTACCATGCGTCCTTGAGAGGACTGGAGGTCACAGTTAGGAGCCATTGTTACATTAAGGAAACCTAGAGGAATCAGACAAAACAGGGAAGAACACAAAGAACTCGCTCTGTAGTATGTCACAGGACTTTGTGCCAAAAACCAAGTTCCCATACTTTGCACAAAAAAGGTCACAGAGATGTACATCACTTGAAACAACTGCCAAAGGCCAACATTAGAGTTATCTTAACACATTCAGCCAAGTACCAGGCTTTTGTGCTTCTCACCTGGGTAAATACACTCGTGCAGAAGAAGCATGCAGGATGAAACAGTCATTATAAGGAGAAAAGAATGGCAGACCACAGAAAAGAGAAACTAAGATTTCATATGCAAAAAGCCAGTCCTGCCTTCCAGCAGCATAAGGACCCATAAACCCAAGTAAGAAAAAGAAAAGCCTTTTTCACCAACTGCTGATAAATATTCAACAATATTCGAGAGCAAACAGTCAACCCATGTAGCAACGAGACTCAGAGCTACTACAGTGGCTCAAACTGGTGCTCTGTATAGGCCAGTAGCTTGGCTGAGGAAATGGTGAGCATGAGGTATCCCACAGTAAGAGATCCAAAAATCCACAGTGGACTGATACAGTAGAGTAACCACCCAAGGGTCACTCCTCACTACCATGGGAGGTGTTACCCTCGTGTGTGTTACATCCATGTCCTGGTTAGAGCTCAGCTGGCTCTACCAAGAATTGAATCAATTCTCCATTCAGTGATTTCACTTTCCAGCTCAATCTCTTCTAAGTAACTGCACTTTCTGAAGTTAACAGCAGACTTTTGCAGACAGTGTCTGCTTCTAGCAGTGATAACACTCCAGGTTCAGAGTAAGTACCAAGGATTGGTGTGCAGAAAGGCCTTTGCTTACACTTGCTCCTGTGCAGACCAAGGTCACTGCTAAATCCTGTGTGCCATGTTGCAGTGCTATAAGTGAAAAGGTCGTAAGTAAAAAGGCCACACTTGTGGGGAGGAGTGACCCAAACCTGACCAGCCAGGTATTCCATTCATTTGTACATCATACTCGGTACAAAGCTGAGGGATCACAAGGGTCACGCTCTCTTCAATGGCCAGCATCCAAGAAGGGCTCTGTCTGTTCTGCCTTGGGTCCCAACCCATTAGCTTCTTCAGTTCCTGTCTCCTACTGAGTCCAATATGGGCTCTGGGGGAGTTCAATATTGGTTTTGTACACATTTCAATATTTTCTAATTAATATTATTAACATCTTTTTATTGTTACTGTTTCATTAAAGCTGTTACAGGTTTGGGTTTTTTCCCCAGCTGGTAAGTCTCTCTCCCTTATTCCCTTTTTCTTTCTCCTTCTCAGAAGGGAGAGGTGTTAGTAGAGAGCATCTGTCATTTCTCTAGTGGCCCGACAAGCCTTAACCCCTGACAATCCAACATGAAAAAGACCAATCACACTACATTGGATGATGAAATGAAAAGGGTTAAAGAGAATACTTTGCAAAGCAAGGCTATGTATGAAAAGCAAGGAGATAACCTTATATGTACTACCACATATAAATAAGATGGCCTACCTGTTCGTGTGCGAGGAACGTCCCCAAGCAAGTCTTTTGCCACAGCCATAACCTGATCAGATCGTTCCAACACATCTTGAAAATGGTGCTGATCAGACACAATCTGAAAGCAGAGGGTAAAAGGAAATATTGCACACTGAGCAGACTGACTTTTCCTTTTCCTTTTTTTTTTTTGTTGTTGTTATTGTTCTTCTAAATGGTTAGCAAGAGAACAGCCAACAAAACAACGTTCATGAAGTTGGTCCTGTGAAATTACATCCAAATTAAGATAGATCAGAAAGTCATACTCCATTCTGAGTGACTAAAATTCGCCTTATTTTTTTGAAAAATTAGAGAGTTATTACTTATTTGGCCCACATCAGCATTGACTCTCTTGTTGGAGAAAATCCTCTCACTCTTTTCTTCTGCTACCAGCCTGGCACAAAGAAGCAGCTGAGTGTTCCTGACACACTCAAAATAAAGATATATATCTGGCAAGTAAACAACCCAGAAAAAACAAAACAACAAAACCTCAACTAATGGCATGCATCCTCCAAATCATTTGATCTCAAAGTTGTCTAGTCAAAGAATACCATGTACATCTGACAGATACCCCAAAACTTCACTATTTGATTAGATACAAAACAGTTCAGGCAGACTTGTTTCATAGAGCCTTGACTATTGAAAATCCAGCCTAACAATTAAGCCACCTACCACCATAAAAGTTTCCAGAGACGTAAACACAGCTCACTACATCTGGCATCAGAAGATGTTTTGAGAATCTCCACACATTTCTCACAAGGCACAGCTTCTGTATTCAAGGTCTCTGTACCCTAGTATTCAAAGTCCATCACTGGCACCACAACAGCTGCCTCCTCAGTAGGGAGGTCTCGAAGTGCAAGGCAGGAGGTATTCAGCTACTGTGGGCCAAAGAAGCTGACTGCAGACATGGCTTTGTGGGCAGAAGGCAATTCAAACCCCCCCACTGACTCATGGTTTCACTCAGAAAGTTGGCCATGGCAAAGTAATAAAATTATATTCCATAACCTGGGAAGAAGGTAGTTATTCTTAAACACCTGAGGAGACTAGGTACGCAAGTGACCTCCATTCATCATGGATAATCAGATTTATCCAAAGAGACTGTAAGTATTTCAGAAGATCCCACAGAAAAGGCAGGCTCATGTATGCCCTCCTACTCAAAATTTGAGAACTGAGTGACAGTTTTTGCTCCCCCAGGAATCAATAAGAGGGACTCATTTGCAGCAGTTCTGGAGCACTACATGCTGTTATCTCCACGGAAACTTTTTCAGCATCCATTGATAAGTTTGCAAGTTTATATTCAGCCTCATTCAAGAAATTCTAGGCAGTGGCATTCCACCCATTATCCCTCCACTCCCCATTTTATTAATGCTTTGTTATGTCAGGAAGTTTCCCCATATATCTAGTTGTCACACCTTTCTAGACTTTTGAGCCTAAATTATACTGCCGTTTATTACACTTCTCCTAATAACCGATTTAGCAAATCAGTGAATATTCATCTTTCCATCATCTCACATGATAATTGTGATACTTAGTTACTAGTCAGTTTTCACACTTGATACTAACTAAATCTCGTCTTTCCACTTAACCATCTGATGTCAAAGCAATGCAGGGTGACAGACAAGTCATGTCAGAAGGAAGAAAAACAAAACAAAAAGTTTACCTGTTCTAAAACAAGATTCCTTTCCTTAAGGCAATTAAAACTAAAGTGATGTGTTTAATTAGACAAAAATTATTCTAATTAATTTGTTTTCATGCTCCCTACTAGATCTCTTTTGGCATCAGCAGGTTCCTAAGCTTCATCCTCTTGCTGAACACGTTATGAAAATTTTGAGAGCACTGCATCCAATGTAGATTAGGTCACATTTGCTTGTGATCAGAAGAAAACAAAGTTATACAAGATTCTAACCCATCTAGGCCCACTCACATGCCCCTGACAAAGTCACTGAGTGCTCTACTTTCTTCCAGGTTTGTATCACCTAAGAATTTAATGAATATTCATCTTTCCTCCCACTTCAGGTTGTTACTACAGACAGTTAAACAGGACTAATCCTAAACCCTCCCCACTATGATAACCAACTCACCACCTACCCTTCAGTGTAACACACCAACGTTATTCTAAAAATAAGCTGTTTCAGGACCAGTCAGTGTGGCTCCTACACATTCATAATCCAGAGTTAGAGACTATCTTATACTGTTTCTTTTTCATTCAGAATTTGACACAGACAAATCCCCAAAAGATTAAAATTTTACTTATCCATTTTATAACTTTTTCTCTCCTTTTCTTCAGCCTACAAGAATAAAACACAGTAGTAGCAGCATGTTCCTAGGGTTTGTCTCTGAGCCTTTTGCGGTTAGTTGAGTGGGATTCAAGGCACTTAGGAAGCCACACAGTTGCAGCAGTAAACAAGGAAAAAAAGATCACCAAGATAACAGAGACATGGGGACAAACCACAGTGGTGATGTACTGGAATATACAGACTGAAGAGTCTTCCTAGTTACTCTGAACAACATGACCCCAACATTAACAAGATTTAAGCTAAGATTTTTTAATCTACACACAAGAAGATGGCAGTGTTTCAAACAACAACAGTCAGATATGCCAGGCAAGATGAAACCTCAACTCCTTTTGTCTTTCTAGCTGAAAGCCTCTTTTCTCTGGCTGAGAAGTAAACACAGGGTATGTTGAATAAAGTCATCTCTCAAATATGAAGGGGAAAGCCACTCAAGAGGAATTTAAATTTGTGAGTTATGATTAGAAACAGCAACAAATACAGAAGGCTACTTCCTAACTGTGAGTTTTACATCTGTGAAATTAACAAAGTCACATAATAAGTAATCCAGTCAAACCTTAGAGCAGCTAATCTGATCTCCCTTTCTGATACAGAGTTTATTTCTGCATGGAAGTCCTATTGAAACTAGACTGCTATTACATTAGGGAAATTCATGTAAAAGTCCACAGCTTTTTTGAATACCCCATTAAAATGCACTTGGCAGAAAAGAAAGAAAATAAAGGCCCAAATTAAAGTCTGAAGCTTGATTAGCATGATACCCTTAACACAAAAATTCTGTTGTGATTGCAGAGAAACAGGTGTCAAATAGTTCTCTAGAAAGTGATCTTCAGTTCTAAGTACATTCAGTTGTATCTGCCTATGCTTGAATGTTCCCAGAGATCAGACTTCTGAAAACTTACAAAAGATGAAAGACAGAAGAGGTCTGTGATGGTTAATCCATCGCATATTTACAGGACTACTAAATCATGTTTACTTTAACTGCCAAGTGAACATTGTTGGTAAAGAATGACGAGGAGCAAGAACAATTCTCAGTTTGTCCAAGAGCTGATGAGGTCTAAAGCCAATGACTACGTTATGAAATCAGTTTTCGTAACATAAAACAAGGAGTCACCTGCCACAAAACAAAAGGATGTCTTCCACTGAAATCCCTTTTCAGACAGTGACAGATACTGTTTCTGATAGCTAATCTTAAGTCTGCTGCCACAGTTCTAGATTGAAAAGCAAATTAAACGATGTTTTTTCATAGTGCTTCAGAATGCCTGGAGAACAAGCTGTTCAATCACCAGATGACAAGCTTGTCTACTAGCAGCCATAGCTCCTCAATCTCTGTGTCAAGTTTCCTTCCAGACAAGCTCTTCCTTACCCTTTCAGCCCCCATGACTCTGCATGTTTAAAGAGGCAAGAGCAGACAAGGGCGTCCCTCCTAGAAAAAGAAATGTTCACATTTCCAAAGAAAATTACTAGACAGGGAGAAGGCTGCAAGACAGCATTAGGAACACAAAGAACACATACATACCCTTTTTTATAACACACAGTTTAACTCTGCTAACAGTTCCTGCTCAAGGCTCAAAAAAGTCTGCAGAATAACAGCATAGCCAGGCAACAAGGACCAAATTCACAACTGCATCTATCAGCTAATGTGTTATAATACAGCTTATTCTAGTCATTGCATGTACTCATCACATAGAGGAAGCAGAGTGCAGGAATATATGAAGTCAAACTATCCAAGAAGAGCAGCAAATGCTGACCAATGTGCAAGAGCAGTCTTCCATTACTGCTGCTAATCATCTGCAGCAGGCTGAAAGTTAAGGATTTAGCTCTCACCTCATGCATCAGAGTCAATTTCCTTTTCTCCAAGGAATCAGCAGCCAGTTGTTTCTGCTTCTTCCAATCTCTTTTCAGCACTTTCTCTTGCAGTTCCCCATGTGCCAACGCTGGGTTTTTTGATTTGCATATCTCATGGAGACGCGGCTACACAAGCATGAAAGAAACCATTTCAAAATCAAGAAACAATCTAAAGCAAAATTTGCAGGCTGATGCTAACAAGCTCTTCTTGATTTTATAATTCAGTGCTGAAAACTATGTTAACTTCATGGCAGTACATGCAGTAGTACATGATAGACAGCCTTACAAACATCCTGAAGTTTAAAACGCCATCAATAGCTGCCAAATTTAAAGCAGCTCCAAAGACAAATGGGGAAAGTCTCAGAGTTTCAATTTGCCTTACGTCTCTGAGTCTGTAAGAGTTTTCTCAGCTGCAGAGAGAGGAAAAAAACAAAACACTACCACCTATAATATGCCTAAAAAAGACATAAGTCCTGATTTAACACTAATGTCAATCACCAGAGATAGTCTGTCTCTTCTTCTAACAATGAGACATATATATATATTCAGTTTAAGTACAAATTAAATGTGTGAGGTTCTTCCTAAAGTGTCTGGAGGCTATCGTGCAACTATTTATAGAATCAAGTCTCTCTCTGCTATTGTGCCAATCTGTCCTGATTAACCTGTCAAAATTTATAAGCAACAACTGCTCATATTGTCTATTCTATCCTGGTAATCACTGGAATCCAAGGAAAATGAGATGGAGTTCATATATTTTGTAGTGAATACATCAGTCAGTATAAAGAAATCATGTTAAATTGTTTAAATGAAACTTGAGTAGCCTCAGAATTAGACAGATTCCTGAAATAAAGCATGTCCTTCAGTCCTTCCTGCAGAGATGAACCTAACTTCAACAACTCCACTGACTTTTTATGTATTTACATTTTTATACTTTCATACTGGTATACACTTTATTTTAATAAAAACTACAGCTTTTCCCAATGGAAGCAGAAAACCTAAAACCACCAACTGCCAGAGCCAGGGATGCATGCTACCATAGGTAACTAACACTAAAGAGACAATGTTTTCAGAAGCTTCAAAAGAAAGCTTAAACATGGGCAGAAAATATCCTCAATAAGTATGGTAAACGCAACAGGAAACTAGCTCAATCGCCTTGCTACAGAGGAGCAATGGTTGCTATTAAACTTACAATAGCCTCAGGAGTTGCACGGTGGACTGTCAAATCTTGGATGGTACTCTGCAAATAGGAAGCAAAGAACACATCAAAAACCAGAACTGTGGATGAACTGGATTTTTTTTCCAAGTTTCACTAAAAAAAACCCTCTAAATTACAACATAATTAGCATAAAACTAAACAATATGCCATTGCAAAGCATGCCAACCTCAGTGAGGTAGCCAGTCAGCAAAAGTTATAGCCCCGTCACGCCTGGGCGCACTCCGCAGCCTCCAGAGCCGGCCGGCAGCTGGGCGGCCCAACCTCACTCCACGGGCGGGAAGCGAGCGGGGTCGCTCCGCGTCACTCCCGCCCCAAACCCGCTGTCTCCAAACGCGAGCCCCGCAGAGGACAAGGACTTCTCAGCGGCCGCCCCCAGCCCTTCCCCTGCCAG